GAACTTCACGGAGGTGGTTTTGATCACGTTGGCAGGTGTTTGTGTATCTCTGGACACATTATGTCACCTTGACAGCGTCACGACTGTGCGAGACGCAGTAATGAAACTTTACAAGTGTGTAGCCGAGATGGAAATGAAGGTCGAGTTTGGAAGAAGGGCGTGTTTCTACCTGGACTACTGAGTACTCATGCAATAATGTAGTGATGACTATTCAGTACTCAGAACGTCAAAAACCTCTGTCGCCATTTTAACGAAGCAAACAAGCTTGACAGTGAAACCTGGTTCATAATGAATCAGTTGTGCACCATTTACTGCTACTAGTGGTGTTGACATATTAAAAATGTAATCAAAAAATTGCAATCACTGGTGTAGATGCACATGCGGGTGTTAACTCAATTTATTTAATAACCTGTCTTAATTGCAGCTGCAACACGGTTTCAAATTGCTGCAACAAATAAATATATATGTGTGTGTGTGTGTGTGTGTGTGTGTGTGTGTGTGTGTGTGTGTGTGTGTGTGTGTGTGCAATAACATTATTTCTAATTCATGGAAAGCACAACCTGGGAAGGAAGGAAGGAAGGTGGAGAAGGTGGAGGAACAAGCTGAGAGGGATTTGTGCTAAATTAAGGTGTGAGTTATTCCTGTTTGTATTTTTCGGATCACAGCAAATAAGGAAGTAGCTTGTGTCGACTTATCAGCATTCACACATTTGTTGAATCCCCGTGCTATTGATTTAATCCCCTACATGTGGGCATCATTAAAATAAAATCAAAACCTATATCTCCTCTGACCAAATGAGGCACATGCATACATGAAAGGCAGAAAATGTAATAAGTTGTGCGTCAAATCTGCCTCAACCACATCCGCCCACATTTTGCTCTGCATGGAGCACAAGAGCATACATGCATGGTGTTGAAAGCCACAATCATGGAAAATGATGCATGCTCAGAGAGCCATGTTTTACAGCACGCTACACATGACGTATATCATGCAAACATGCGAATCAGAAAAAGTCAGCACAGCTAAGGGGGCGGCTGCAACAGGAGTGAGTCCATGAGCTGTATGAGAGCTCTTCTGAGATCCCTCGAGCCCATCGTGGGTGTTTAGTCTTTCCCGCGAGGGATGCTCGTTGCTTTTGCGGAGGCAGGTTCAGCTCAAGGATTAATGAAAAGCTCCATCTTAGTCATGAAAAGAGCATTTTCACAATCTATTTAACATCATGCATACCAAAGGCTCACATTAGGCACCGTTGACTTATGCTCGCCTACAGCAGTGTTTTCTGATGCATTCATTGCCACTGCTGTGATCTTCTGTGGGTAGGCTGCCCCCCTCCAGCAGTGCCCATTGAGTCTCTTGCATTTCTCATGTTTGCTGTCAGAAAACTCATTCTTCAGTGCCGAGATGAAAAATGGAGCGCAACTGGAAGTCTGAGGGATTTATTGAAGAAATTAGAGTAATAAAGCTTCCCGGGACTTTAGTGTTCTTTTTGGGTAATGTCTGTTTTTCTCTCCTCTGTGTGGTGATGGATGAAAGTTCACAGAAACAGGAATGAGCGGCACAGAACATGGTATCAGCCAATTCACTCTAACGTTTACAGGTGAAACACAGCTCCCTGTGAGCGGGCTGTGAGTGCGACCAGGTCATATGATTATAATGCAGGATGTTTCTATCTCAGCAGCCAGGCCGACCCGACAGAGGCTAGAGTGGTGTAATAAGCTCCGATGGAAAAGCTCAGAGAAGAGCATTCCATGAGTGCTGGATGTTATTTCAGCGGTTGCCTCCGGTGAATTATTTAGTGCAAATGGTTGTAATTACACAGCGACTACAGAAGGCGATTAGGTTGTGGCATGTCTGGATCATTGCAGGAATCACAGGACTACGTGGCGAACCCAAAGGCATTCCAGGAAACTGCTCCGTGCACTCGCCTCTTCCTCCTCTTAGCTCTGTCAGCGATTTCTCTCCTCTGAGTGGCTGGCGTCAGGCCGGCCCTCTCCGAGCTTTTAAAAGGTTGTTAAAGGTCCTCGCGAGACACGGCCTGTATCCCACCCACACACTCCACCCAGCTCTCCCACAAAGCCCTCCAAGCTATCACAGCTTCTCAGGATGTCAGCCAGCATTATGCCCCCCCACCCCCTTAGCGCCTGTGATCAGGGCTCAGCCATGCAGGGAAACTGGGGGGAAAAACGAAGTCACTCGCTCGTAGCAGCCAAGGAAAAGACCGGTCATCTCTGCCACACTGACCTTTCAGGGCCTTTGAGGACTGTGATGTGACGGCGTGGGCGATGGCTGATGGTGAAATTAATGCTTTGATTCATCTGTTGGTGTAAACAAAGGATGACAGGCACCGTAGAACAAGATGCAGCTATAAGACTCAAATAAGACACAAATGTCACCCAATGTACTTTTATAAGGGGAGGACAACTGGAGGGCCCATTACGTGGCTCCGCTCTCTTGTCCTGTCCAGGTCGGTTCGTCTGTCATGGTGAATTGACAAGACTGCAAATTCTGCTTGACAGCGGAAGCTCCCCTTAGGGAGACTAAGTGGCATCAACCTGTCATAGTCGCACACTGTTACTGACAAGGTGATGACGAACACCTTTCATTAAAAGGCAGAAGCTGGGTTGTTCCTCTGAGGAAGCATGCTCTGGTTTTAATGTCAAAGGGAATGGACTGGGGCTGGAACAGGATTTTATATGTCACCATGATGCACTCTCAAAAAATTCATAGTACCCACAATCAGAGGCGCAGCGGGAGGTGCACTCCTGCCTGGATCGGACCCCTCATGGAAATTGTTTGAGTCTTGTCACAAGCTGTCAACATCGCCGATGCTGCAATAAACCAATGTGGATTCACGTTGCTCATATCTGCCAGCGTTGACGGCTCCAAATGGCAGTGACAGGTAAGTATTTTGACAATTTAAAATTCAGCACCTGAGAAATCCCAGCTCGAGAAGTCATTAAACTGCACAGGGCAATACTGGCCACTGTGTGACTGCTTTAAAGAGACAGGAGAGGCAAAAAGCTCATAGCTGGCAAAAGAAACATTGCTGAGTTTGGTTTTCTATAGTGGGAGCGCTCATTTGCTGCTGACTAGGAGGCATTTTGACCAGCTGTGACAGTGTGGCGGGTGTTGTTTTCACCTTGTGTTTGTGCGTAATCATGAACAAAATGTAGTACCGGAGACACTTTCAGGAGCAGGAACAACCGCAGAGGCAGTTTTGACGACTCTGGCAGGTGTCTGTCTGACAGATGCTGTCAACGCTTTAGCATCGCCACCATGTGAGATACGGTCAGGCAGCAGGTGGGAAGTTGAATGACGGCCAATTCCAAGTTGGGTATGGTCTGACTCCTGTGCAGCGAGTAGTGATGTGGTGGAATGTCAACATGTTAATGGGTGTTGCAGCTGCTGCTCTCTAGTTTATTGCAAAGTTTGATTTGTCACTTCTAAGGGAAAGCAACACCATATTTTATTTGGGTAAACACTGTAATCACTGCAGTCTAAGTTGCATTTACCAAAGCCTGAATGTGTTTTTGTATCATTTGTTTGTACCTTGTGTCTTCTAAATGTAATATAGAGCCTCCATTTGATTTAGTTTTTTAATTTTACCATCACACTGTCACACACGTGCTTGTTTTGACAGATGTTCAGTAACTGTTAGTGACTTAGGGAGTCACACTGTCAGCCTGCGTTGCATAAAAGTAAATCCGCTGTCTGAATTTTGCACAATGGCTCATCACAGGCAAGAAAAGATGAGTCACCTGCTGTAAAGAGTCCGAAAAACATGTAAAACTAACAGTGATGATGATGATAATTCTGTACTTTGAATCCATCATGAGCAGATTAACAGAGTGCTGTAGGGTCAGAAAAGATTGCAACGCACATTTCTATTGATCATTCAGCTGAGCTAAAGAGGAAAATATGGGGCATTGGGTCCATTACACAAAAACGACGTGACCCAATGCAGAACCCAGTAAATTTGGAGCAGATGTGGATGAACAAGCAGATTCAGGGATTTTTTTTTCTCTTTCTTTCACATGATTAAATCGGGCATTAGATCTGAGCGCCTTTTACTTTTGATTGAAATATCTAAAAAATTATTGATTGGATTGCCATGAAATCTGGTACATTTGTGTCCCCTTCTGGATGAATGGTAATTTCTTTGGTCTCCTGACTGTGCCACACTCAAATTAAACTCAAATACATTTTTGACAGATGCTCAATAGTGACTTAAGGAGTCACACTGTCAGCCTGCGTTGCATAAAAGTAAATCCCCTGTCTGAATTTTGCACAATGGCTCATCACAGGCAAGAAAAGAAGAGTCACCTGCTGCAAAGAGTCCGAAAAACATGTAAAACTAACAGTAATAATGACACTAATACTAATACTGTAATTCATACTGTGATTGAATCCATCATAAACACATTTACAGTTTCTATAGGATCAGAAAAGATAACCCTAACCCATTCCCATTGATTATTCAGCCTAGCAAAAAGGGAAAATGTGGAGCACTGGATCCATTAGGGTCCGCTAGCAGAATGTAAATTATCACATTAGGAGCAATAAAATAGCTGGAATCTCTCAGCAAACACGAGTGTCTGAAGTGCTGCCGGCGCACGGCTTCAAATGAGACACCGCTCCCACACCTACAATCCATCCACAAATCATTACCGGCCAAATGAGTGACATCAAACCCCTGACATTAGGACAAGTTACTACAATCTCCATGACAACTGTGATTGCAGGAGAAAATAACGATCTGTCACTGGAACTTCTTTTTGTCTTCGCTCGCCACAGGTTTTATTCGCCGGAGCTCTATATCATCAAATTCTCTCCAGACCTTGAGATTTGTTCAGTTTCAGCTGCAGCAGCATCTCTGAGTGAGGTGATGAGTGAAGCAGCATTTTAACTTCAGATCACTGCACCTACGCTCTCTATCGCAGTGACCACACAGTGTTCAATTGTATTGATTTTCTTTTTCTCATTTCTTTGTTGTCGTGCAGGGTATTTGGAAGATGCAGTGTGTAACAAGAACCAAGTGGAAGAAAACAAGCTGGGTACGATTTTATTATCATTTCAGAATATAATGAAACACAGTGGAAGAAATTTTGAATGACCAAATTATCAAAATAGTGTGATAGTAGTGAAATCCAATGTTTTCAACATATTTATACAGGCATGCATAAAATAACACACACACACACACACACACATATATATATATATATATATATATATATATACATATATCACACTGCCATGTAAAAAGTAAGAAAAAAATCATAAAAGTATTATACAATCTTAATTTGAGGCTTAATACTCGATGGGTGATGTCATCTTATTGTTTTTATTTTCAGTCATTAATTTCTGGAAAATGAAAAAAGAAAGATTCATTAATTTGTTTTCAGAAAATTTGACCTTATCAAAAAAATGTTTTTTATCAATACATTGTTCTCAAGTAATTAAAAAAAGGTGATACAGGCACTTTGGTAGTGTTGCTATGACATAACCCCCTCATGCTACGAACAAGTTTTTATTGGGTTAATTCTAACTTTCACCTGGAGACTGTGGCTAAATTTAAACCGACACAAAAAAAGGTAAAACTCTGTAGAAATGTTTTTTAAGGTTTTTCATACAACTCACTACATTTATTATTCGCTGCACAGTTTTTCCATTTGGCTGTTATGATGGCACAGCAGTTCCACGGCCATAGATCATGTTTTCATGCATACGGAAAGTGCAGTCTATAATGTGATGTGGACAGTATTGTGAGTGAGGTGTGATGAGACTCTTACAGCTGTGAAGAAAGCCTTGTTGATATATATATATATATATATATAAAATATACATGTAGAATCAAAATGATTAACAGCTGAATCTAACATTGTTTTACTTAACAAGGGAAGGATCTTGATGAAAAAAGAAATCAGAATATTGACCCAAACTATTTCCATCAGCCTCACCCCTTAATGTTTAGTGCACATAAGGAAATGTACTAAAGTACTCTACAACACATAGTGCTACCAGTTAAACGTCAGCACCTCAGCTTGGTCTTTATAAGCATGTCATACTGAAGTGTAGCATCACCTCACAGAGCCATAAGCCTGGCTGGAGACTCTTAGTGCTTTTTGATTTACATTACATCATATAGGATAATTTATACTATATAGTGTTCATGATTCTACAGCATGCATCGGCTGCACAGTCGTTAAGGGAGCTGGAGGCTCGAGGGAAGCAGAACCTCCTATTATGACGCTATAATGATCTATAACCAATGATCTACAACCATAGAGCTGTGACATTTGTGCTAGTTTGGCTGAAGTTTAACTACCAGTAACTGTAATCAGCCTGTTTCCCCAAACAGTCACTCAAAGTCCTATCTGTCTTTGTGAAGTCAATCACAATTAAGCTTTAGTTGGTTATTAAAAGAAAACAACACTGGTTTCAAAAGCTAAAACTGTTGCACATTATATATCCATGAATCCATGATCTATACTGTTTATCATTTATGGGTCATGGGGGAGCTGGAGTCAATCCCAGCTGACATAGGGTGAGAGACCCTGGACAGATATAGAGACAAACAACTATTCGCCCTCATATTCATTGTCAATTTAGAGTCTCTCACCCATTTGGCTGAATTTAGACTCACATCCATTTTGTCCGAGCCACAAGAAGACCAGAAATGCTGCATTATAGCCTGAAGTGTCCCAGATAAGTATACAGTACAGTCCTGCATGTCTCTGGACTGTGGGAGGAAGCCGGGGGAGTACCCCGGAGAAAACCCACGCAGACACGGGGAAGAACATGCCAACTCCACACAGATAGAACCGGGCCACGCTGTGAGGCGTCAGTGCCAACCACTGCACCGCCCTCATTAGGAATTTTATTATACATTATGTTATCTACAGGTGTTACTCTGAGGGACACAGTGTTTGCATGTATTTAAAAATGCACATCAATAATTTGCAGTCACTGTTACTTTGTGCCCAAAGGTCATTTCAAGTATTTGTGGAAGCGGTTACACCTGTTCATGAATTTATTCATATCTCATATCTCAGTCACACCTTGTTGCATTAGAACCATCTTTAATATTCACAGCATTAGTTGTGTTGCTGTGTCGTTGCATGTGGACGTGAGGTGGGAGTTGTTGTGCATGTGGGTAAACGCTCGCACTCATCACAGCAGATTGGACGGCAGCTTAATAAGAGGTGCTAACTTTTTAAAATTAAATTGATTCCTGGACGCAGTCTCTTTCTGTCAGCACCCAGCGAGAGAGCGGCGTTATCTTCCAAATGGATTTCTGAAATATCTTTGTTAGACAGACATAATGGGTTATGACTGTGGACAGAAAAGTAATCACGAATTAGTTTCCAAGGTTGTGTCAGTTAATTAGTACCTGATTAAGCGGTCAGCGGAGATGTCTGCGCGCTGTTGTGGGATGAGGCGGCGAAGAACCATCAGAAGAATTGTGTCCATTAACCAGACCTGAAGTGAAAAAGATAAAATATTAGAAATGTTTCAGGCAGGCAGTGTGAAGGCTGCACACTGTAAAACAAGTTTTACAAAAGTGTGGCAAACAAAAATATATAAATTACTCAGTAGAGAATTAACAGTCCATTTAGTTGTACACAATAAGAGCAAAAGGAAAGTCTTAATCAGAAATATTGTTTGGCTTTTTTTTTTTTTACAGGAAATGACTTATTACTTTTAGTGCTGTGAGGGGGAAAAAAAATCTCATCTGCATTCAAGGTTTGCTCTCTAGAAACTTGTCGATGACATCCTCTCCTCTCGCCCCTGAAGACTTGCTACTGTGTTCAGGGCGACTTGTGAAGGCATGGCTCTGTAAACCGATGTTAGAAGTGCGGCATGAATGCAAACTGAGAGGCAGCTTTATTTTCCGGAGGAGACGTCTTTCTCCTCCAACAATGTCCCTTTCTTTTCATTCGCAATACCCTTGTTTGACACTGCATAGTCTTGCTGTTTTCAAAAGTGTCACATGGCAATTACGCAGTTGTTAAGACCTTGGAGTTTAGCGAGGCTGTGGAGTTAAGACATGTGAATAATTCTCAGTAAGATGCTGATGTGCTGGGAATCTCTGTTATTTAGGTTTTTCTCTCTGCCACAGGTTGCAATGCTTAGGTTATGTTGGTCTCCTGCAGACATGTACGTCAGGATAATCTCAATCTACAGTCACAACAGTTTTACTCCCTCTGAATCTATAACTGCATATTTCACTATAGGGCTGAGCTTTAATAACCAGAGACTCCAGAAGAAGACATTTCCTCCTGCTGTACAACAAATGAAGCCAACATGCCCACTACACACAGGTGCTACCATCTTGCTGTTTTCACTTTATTTGGAGTCAGAGTCCACACAGTAGTGATTGTGGAGTGCAGCTGCTGTATCAAAGTCCCAAAGATACACGCACTTCACCAATCCCGAGTCTCAGGAGCCAATCATGACGTCTCATCTCCCCATTTTTATATCATCAAAAAACAAATTAAAACCAAGTTTATCAGAAACACTTGAACAAGCATCAGTGTGATAAGAACGACCTAAAATGACAGAAATTATCTTATCTAACATCTAGTTTGACTTTTTAGTTTGGTCCATGTCCAGTCTGCTAACATGGAGGAGGTGGGGTTTATGACCTATACTGCAGCCCACCACCAGGGGGCAACAAAGATAACTTTTATGACAAATATTAAAACGGCTTTAAAATTTAAAAGTGCTACAAAGATTTAAACCATTCACGTCTTGAACACAAACACAGTAACATGTTTAGTCAAGAGAAACTTCATCATATGCAGTTTGAGTACAGTTACATGAATTGAACAGTTAATGCTTCTGCCATTTTAGTCCAACAACATGGCCACCTTCGTCTCCATCTTTACTCGTCTGGAATGAAATTCAGATCCTCGTGAGTTCTCGTCACATTTCCCCAGAAGATTTCAGGGCTCCTCTTAGAATCCCTGTCTAAGATTCCCATCACTGATCCTCTGTAACCAAGACATCAGTGGCTGTTGCCATTTTGTTTACGTATGTGGATAAATAAATGAGGTGAACAGAAGGATATGCAGCCTCCACACTGAACATGCTTTACATGGTGAGTGCCCATGCCCACCTTCAGCTTAAAGAAAAAAATGTCCCTGTGCTGCCAACATCTGCTGCAGGTCTCAAAGGAGCCGTGGGCTAAAGACCACCAGCTTGGATATATACAAGTTTACCTTTTGGTCCACATGAGTGTTTGATGGATGATAACAGATATGCTCTTTAAATACACAAAAATTAAATCAATTCTTATATTATCAATATCAAGTTTACAGCAGCAAAGATTCACCCTGAACGTGTGTGAAATGTAATTCATGGAACAGGTGTTCGCACTCCTGAGCTGGCAGTGTAATTGAATCAATTATGCATAATAATAAGATTCTCCGCATGCATGATAAAATGAAGACTCTCTGTTGAACAAACTATAGATCCAGCACCTGGTGTTGCCTGAAAAACATCATGACAGCGAAGCAGAGGAATGAGGCACTGGTCAAGAGATGATCTGATACAGATGATGCTGCTGCTTTCACTTTGATTGTGATGATGAGTTCTAATCTGAACGTGTAATGATATACACTTTTTTTGAAGTTTGTCCAAATTTCTCTGTTATGTGTTATACCTCCTCA